GTTCATCTTTCCCTCGATCCTGACTAGTCTCACAGTCCCTGCCGCTGAAAAACATCCCCACATCATGATGATGCCACCACCATGCTTCACCGTAGGGATGGTGCCAGATTTCCTCCATACGTGACGCTTGTCATTCAGGCCAGAGTTCAATCTTGGTTTCATCAGACCACAGAATCTTGTTTCTTATGGTCTGAGAGTCTTTAGTTGCCTTTTGGCAAACACATGTGGGCTGTCATGTGCCTTTTACTGAGGAGTGGCTTCTGTCTGGCCACTCTACCATAAAGGCCTGATTGGTGGAGTGCTGCAGAGATGTTTGTCCTTCTGGAAGGTTCTCCCATCTCCACAGAAGAACTTTGGTGCTCTGTCAGATTGACCATCGGGTTCTTGGTCTCCTCCTTGATCAAGGCCCTTCTCCCCCGATTGCTCAGTTTGGCCGGGTGGCCAGCTCTAGGAAGATTCTTCGTGGTTCTAAACTTCTTCCATTTAAGAATGATGGAGGCCACTGTGTTCTTGGGGACCTTCAATGCTGCAGAAATGTTTTGGTACCCCTCCCCAGATCTGTGCCTCGACACAATCCTGTCTCGGAGCTCTACGGACAATTCCTTCGACCTCATGGCTTGGTTTTTGCTCTGACATTCACTGTAAACTGTGAGACCTTATATAGACAGGTGTGTGCATTCCAAATCATGTCCAATCAATTGCATTTACCACAGGTGGACTCTAGTCAAATTGTTGAAAAGTCAAGGGGTCTGAATACTTTCCAAATGCACTGTAGGAGTACTGTATCTCTGATTGGCTATGGCGCACCGGTCTGCATAGACTCCGGTCCTGGATGAGACAGATGTTTTTATTATGTTTTATTTACGGCATTGTCTATTAATTGTTCAAACGCGTGGTCACTTTCCCACTCTATATTGCTATTGAAGTGTAATATTCTTCCTGGGGGTGTATGGAACAGATTTTAATACAATTTCCTGTTGATAAAATGCTGTCAGTTCCACTTTAAATTAGCAGAGGATATTCTAAATGGGCTGCTTGTAAAAATGTCAGGTCTGTATGGGTTTCTGGTCTCTAAGCTGAGACAGTTATAATGTGTTTGATACCATTCCATTTACTCCATTCCAGTCCTTATTATGAGCCGTCCTCTCCTCACCAGCCTCCTGTGATTCCCACACGCTATTTTTCAAAATCTTATATTGCAAAACCATTAAAGATTCAGATGTCATGGTTTTTGTATGACTTCTCTTGTCTGGTGCTAAATCCCAGTCCAGGTCCTAGTTCGCTGTCTTCTGTATACAATCTGAACAATGAAGCAACCAGGAAAAGACATGATCTGATTCCAAAAAATATTTTTTTTTTCAAATTGTTGTTTGACAACAGTGGTGTGATAGGGACAATATTTCTGAGGTAATGTGTGAGATTTAAACATATACATGTTTGAGAGACAACAGTAAGATTTGAAAAAAAGTGAGTAGAGGGCCAGCACGTTTCTAGAAGTTCAGACCATGACTGTAGAAGCCGCTCAAGTTATGACTTTATATCTGGCCAACCCCACCTGGAGTCATGTGGGAAAAGAAAGAGAGATAATCAGTTGTGTGCATGGTTCAAATAACAGAGGGGCTAGGAACTTTGCAGCCCAATAACAAACCATCACCTTTTCCAATCAAACTCGTCATATATAGTCAACATACCAGCTGATTCCAGAGGAGCAGGGAGAGTAATACACATACAGTGGGGGAAAAAAAGTATTTAGCCAGCCACCAATTGTGCAAGTTCTCCCACTTAAAAAGATGAGAGAGGCCTGTAATTTTCATCATAGGTACACGTCAACTATGACAGACAAATTGAGAGAAAAAAAATCCAGAAAATCACATTGTAGGATTTTTTATGAATTTATTTGCAAATTATGGTGGAAAATAAGTATTTGGTCACCTACAAACAAGCAAGATGTCTGGCTCTCACAGACCTGTAACTTCTTCTTTAAGAGGCTCCTCTGTCCTCCACTCGTTACCTGTATTAATGGCACCTGTTTGAACTTGTTATCAGTATAAAAGACACCTGTCCACAACCTCAAACAGTCACACTCCAAACTCCACTATGGCCAAGACCAAAGAGCTGTCAAAGGACACCAGAAACAAAATTGTAGACCTGCACTAGGCTGGGAATACTGAATCTGCAATAGGTAAGCAGCTTGGTTTGAAGAAATCAACTGTGGGAGCAATTATTAGGAAATGGAAGACATACAAGACCACTGATAATCTCCCTCGATCTGGGGCTCCACGCAAGATCTCACCCCGTGGGGTCAAAATGATCACAAGAACGGTGAGCAAAAATCCCAGAACCACACGGGGGGACCTAGTGAATGACCTGCAGAGAGCTGGGACCAAAGTAACAAAGCCTACCATCAGTAACACACTACGCCGCTAGGGACTCAAATCCTGCAGTGCAAGACGTGTCCCCCTGCTTAAGCCAGTACATGTCCAGGCCCGTCTGAAGTTTGCTAGAGTGCATTTGGATGATCCAGAAGAGGATTGGGAGAATGTCATATGGTCAGATGAAACCAAAATATAACTTTTTGGTAAAAACTTCACTGATATATTTTCTTCTGGAATAGGCTATCTGCTATTTGCAATACCATGTTAACCCTCTGAATGTTATCATGCACAAACTGCACACCTGAGCGTCCACCTTCATAAGAGTAAATACATTTCGATTTAAAAAACAATTCTAATAAAACATGGAAACTATTACTGGAGATCTCATATGGAAAAATACTTATCATTTCGTATTAAACTAATATTATTTCTGAGCTTAACCCACATCAATGCCACATTACCATGCTCCTTTGTAAAATCTTTGGTTGTAGACTCGGCCATGCTAGAGCGGGAAGTTGCAGGATTATCTGGTGAGAGAGAGAGAGAGAGAGAGAGAGAGAGAGAGAGAGAGAGAGAGAGAGAGAGAGAGAGAGAGAGAGAGAGAGAGAGAGAGAGAGAGAGAGAGAGAGAGAGAGAGAGAGAGACAGAGAGATCTCCATCAGAAATGACTGTCTGTCTTTCTGCACAACAAAACAAACAAATAAACAAAACAAAATCATATCAAGGGATATTTCACAGACAATACTTGGGTTGTCAGACAGGACAGACAGATAGGAGAACACATAATAACAAATGGGCATAAGCTGCAATTGTCTTTCGGGAGGTGACCATATACATGTAGGATAAATTATATTTTGTTTCTATTCGGATCACATCCTGTCTAAGGTTATAAAAAGTGTCCAGACTTTTTTCCGTCTATTGACCAAAATGTTGGTTTAAGATAAATGAGTATGCAAGACTGCACATTCACTTACCAATATTGAAGTTTTTCTTATGTACCTGGAGCAATATAAGGAGTGCAAATTACTCTGTTTTTAATATCTGATCTATTTGACAAGCTATTCTCTCACACTCTTATGCGTGGAAGTTAAGAGAAGTGAGAGATATAGAGAGTAAGGGTAGAGCAGAGAGAGAGAGAGGTGGAGAGAAGATAATGAAAATATTATTTTACCTTTGTCAATCAGTTTTGAGGTAAAGCTATCAGCCATATCCTACAGTAAGCAGAAAGTCAATGTCACGTTCGTTGTGTAAAAGATCGGACCAAGGTGCAGCGTGATATGTGTATATAGTAGTTTATTATATAAACACCGACAAAATAACAAATCCAACATAATGTGAAGTTCAAAAGGCTAAGCATCCAACAAGCCAAACAGAAACAAGATCCCACAACTAAGGTAGGCAACATGGCTGCCTAAGTATGATCCCCAATCAGAGACAACGATGGACAGCTGCCTCTGATTGGGAACCACACCCAGCCAACATAGAAATAGATAACATAGATCTACACATAGATATTCACACCCTGACCAAACCAACTAGAGATCTCTATGTCAGGGACTCATTAGGGGAGGGTCCGGGTGGGCATTTAGCCTCGGTGGCGGCTCCGGCTCCGGGCGCGACGTCAACCTTACTGTCCTCTCCTTTTCTGGCTCCTCGTTGCACACCTGGTCCGGTCTGATCCCTGGCGCAATGCTTCCCCTCTCAGTCCTCCCACGATGCACCAAGCCCTGTCTGGACCCTGGTGTGGGAGGCCCCGACCCTGAAGAGGGGTTGACGTCTGGTTCTGGCTCTGCAGTCCTCCCGCGATGCACCAAGTCCTGTCTTGTCCCTGGTGTGGGAGAGTAGACGACCGGACCCGGACTAGGCACCGGTGGAGCGGACTGCTCTGGCACTGGAGTGGAACCGCTGACCGGAGCTGAACTGGACCCCGGTGGAGCGGACTGCTCTGGCTCTGGACTGGAGCAGCTGACCGGGGATGGACTAGGACTGGTGGAGCGGACTGCTCTGGCATTGGACTGGAGCAGCTCACCGGAGCAGGTCTAGGCACCGGTGGAGCGGACTGCTCTGGCACTGGAGTGGAGCAGCTGACCGGAGCTAGTCTAGGCACCGGTGGAGCGGACTGCTCTGCCACTGGAGTGGAGCAGCTGACCGGAGCTGGACTATGCACCGGTGGAGAGGACTGCTCTGGCACTGGAGTGGAGCAGCTGACTGGAGCTGGACTAGGCACCGGTGGAGCGGACTGCTCTGATCCCGGACTGGACCGTACCGGGTTGGGAACACGCACCACTAGTCTGGTGCGAGGAGCAGGCACGGGCCGTACCGGGCTGGGGACACGCACCACTGGTTTGGTGCGAGGAGCAGGTACGGGGCGCACTGGGCTGGCGACACACACCACTGGTTTGGTGCGAGGAGCAGGTACGTGCGTACAGGACTGGAGACACGCACCACAAGTTTGGTGCGGGGAACAGGTACGGGGCGTACCGGGCTGGCGACACGCACCTCTGGTTTGGTGCGAGGAGCAGGTGGGGGCCGTACAGGTCTGGAGACATGCACCACTAGTTTGGTCATATTTCATATTGTCCATATTGATTACTCTTGAGGCATTTAGTGATGTACCTGTAGATGTCAAAGGCACGGATGGGTTTGTATGACAAACATTCCAAACTCAGGGGGCATGTAACTAGATGTGCCCCCGGCCTTCCCAGGGTACTCTTTGCTCATCTTGGAAACACTGTGGGACACCTTGGCCAGGCCAAAATCTGAGAGAGAGAGAGAGAGAGAGAGAGAGAGAGAGAGAGAGAGAGAGAGAGAGAGAGAGAGAGAGAGAGAGAGAGAGAGAGAGAGAGCTCAAAGACATTGCTCCTGTATTTTTAACAAAAAAATATAGATTTAGAGTTAGATAAAGTAGGATTTTTTGGCAGGGACATATACAGGATGCTACCCTCCACAACATAACCTTCATTCCAAACCAAAACTCCAAACCTACAACCTGATTTTGGACGGAATTACCTGGAAGGCTTTCTACTACCAAGGATTACTATTCCCAAACTATACAGCAAATGCTCTGGCAAACAAACAGAAACCTGAAAACACCATCCAACCTGGAACTGAGTGAGTAATGTTTAGTATGAACCTATTTTTCACTTTCAAAAACCAAGAAGAAAAATACATTACAATGATATATTTTACTTTATAAGGACTGAATGCTAAGGCTACCAAGCTTGCTAGTACAAAGAGATACAATTTCAATTAGCACTGACATGTGAAGTGAGAGGTGTCAAAGCCCTTGAGCCCAACAATGGCAGGAGAGTCGCACAGTCTACCCCAACCAAATGGAGAGGCCTTAGAAGCACCCCCCCCGCTGTTCAGAGGTCATTCAAATACAGTACCCTCTGAATGTAAAAAACGACAAGACACGGAAAGAGTAGAAAATTAAACTTCTTTTGGGGAATCAGGAGAAAGTTTTTGCTGATTTTTATAAAAATGGGAACATAAGCAACCTTATCTTCCACACAGACCATCCCCTGGCATGGCACAGTGCTATACTAGGTGGGGGGGTGTTAGCGATGGGTGGAAACTCAGGATACTGGACAACGAGGACTCTGAGTTGTCTGATATTAATCTCTATAAATCTGGAACCGTTCTGGTTCAAGGCAGCACCAAACAGTTCCAGCTGGACTTTCACCTAATCAAAGAAACAGCTCAGCAGGAGAAGCTCTCCCTTGAGAAAGATACCCCCACCCCGAGCGGGTCAGACCAGACCTCTTAATTAAATAACCCCACAGAGCAACCCTAAGCAGAAAGTCAACTTCCCAGCACAGAGTACTACTCCCTCATTGAAATGAAGGATACATTCACCCAGCTGGAGGTAAGGCAGGTGGAGCTGGAACAGCAGGTGAACACACTCCAGTCAGCACAGACGCAGACAACAGTCCAGCACAACAACACCCCCTTAACTAGACCTGGAGAGCTGGAGGTAGAGAGAGACATGTCTGCACTCTGGACTGTGGTGAGACAACATCAACAGGAGAAAGAGCAGGAGCAGGAGAAGAACAGAGCACTAGAGGAGAGGATCAGAGTGCTGGAGGAGAAGATGAGAATGATGACGGGTGACATAGAACAACCCATTAGAGAGCTGGCCACCCCCGCAGAGAAGCCAGCAGAACAGCCCACCTCAGATCCTGGCCAAAGTCTCGACACAGCATCAGAACAGTACACCCTAGACCCTGACCATAGCCTTGACATCACAGCCAGACAAACAAATGAAGAACCCCAAGCCCTGGGGACCCCAACCCCTCTGAGCAACCCCTCTGTCAGACACCCTGATAGCCCTCATGACGACCCCCCCACACCCACTGAGGACATACACAAGCCACAGATTGTACTCCTTATGGACTCAAACGGGAAATACATACAATAAAATAAACTTTTTCCAAAACACACAGTGTCTAAACTCTGGTGTCCAAACACCCAGTGCGCCCTAGACCTTCTGTCTGAGGACCGACTAGGATCACCCAGCCACATAATAATACACACAGGCACAAATGACCTGAGAACACAGCAGGAAAGGGTGGCCACAGCACTCAAGGGAGTGATAGAAAAAGCTTCTTCTACTTTCCCCAACGCACAAGTGGTTACCACGAAAATACTTCCACCTTCCTACCATACAGCGGGTAAACGCAAGTATTTCCCGTGACTGTGCATCAAAACCAAATGTCTACCTGGCCCACCACTCCACCCTGGACGTGAACAGCCTTTATGACCAGGTCCACCTACACAAGGCAGCAGTGCCCACCTTTGCCCGGACCCTAAAGGATATCACCCTCAACCGCAGACCCAACACCTCACACAGGAGCAACAGATCAACAGACACCCCGCCCAGACCAGCGAGACGCCCCCCCAGGACCTACACATAGAGGACCCCCGCAGAGAGACCTACATCCAGACCACAGCACCATCAGCCACATCTACACCCCCATCCCCACCAATTAACTACCCCCCCCCCCCCCCCCCCCCCCCCCCAAGTCAACCATGCCCACACCCCATTTAGGCCACCTCAGATCAGACCTATGCCCCTCCTACCCACCCCAAGCCCCCCACTCCCACAAAGAGGACCTCAACATGAAAGTCACACATACGCCCAGGCCGTGAGCAGGCAAACAGGCCCACCACCCACTCTTAAACTAGCCCAAGCCAATGGCATGTACCAGATGCTCAGCAGGCTCTGCTCACAATTACTGGCCTGAGGCCAAACCACACAACCAACAACATTAGACACTTTATGGAACACAAAGCCTTCACTATTTCATCCTGGAATATCCAAGGCCTGAGGTCATCTGCCTTTGGCCTAAAGAGCAGGAATCTGGACTTCACCAAAGAAATCGGAAATACAGACATTGTCATCCTACAAGAAACATGGTATAGAAGAGACGGACCCACTGGTTGCCCTCTAGGTTACAGAGAGCTGGTAGTCCCATCCACCAAACTACCAGGTGTGAAACAGGGAAGGGACTCAGGTAGTATGCTAATTTGGTATAGAGCAGACCTAACTCACTCTATTAAATTAATCAAACAGGAACGTTTTACATTTGGTTAGAAATTCAAAAGGAAATTATCTCAACAGAGAAAAATGTCCTCCTGTGTGCTACCTATATCCCCCCACTAGAATCCCCATACTTTAATGAAGACAGCTTCTCCATCCTGGAGGGGGAAATCAATCATTTCCAGACCCAGGGACATGTACTAGTCTGTGGCGACCTAAATGCCAGAACTGGACAAGAACCTGACACCCTCAGCACACAGGGGGACAAAAACCTACCTGGAGGTGACAGCATTCCCTCCCCCATATGCCCCCCTAGGCACAACTACGACAACATAACCAACAAAAACGGGTCACTACTCCTGCAGCTCTGTCGCACACTGGGTATGTACATAGTCAATGGTAGGCTTCGAGGGGACTCCTATGGTAGGTACACCTATAGCTCATCTCTTGGCAGTAGTACTTTATCACTGACCTCAACCCAGAGTTTCTCAGAGCGTTCACAGTCAGCCCACTGAGACCCCTATCAGACCACAGCAAAATCACAGTCTACTTGAACAGAGCAATACTCAATCATGAGGCATCAAAGCCAAAGGAACTGAATAATATTAAGAAATGCTATAGATGGAAGGAAAGTAGTGTTGAAACCTACCAAAAAACAATTAGGCAACAACAAATTCAATCCATTCTAGACAACTTCCTGGACAAAATGTTCCACTGTAATAGTGAAGGTGTAAACTTGGCAGTAGAAAACCTAAACAGTATATTTGACCTCTCAGCTTCCCTATCAAATCTAAAAATCTCTAACAGAAAACCAAAGAAAAGTAACAACAGTGATAAATGGTTTGATGAAGAATGCAAAAACCTAAGAAAGAAATTGAGAAACCTATCCAACCAAAAACATAGAGACCCAGAAAACCTGAGCCTATGCTTTCACTATGTCACACCCTGGCTCTGGGGACTCTATATGTTGAGCCAGGGTGTGTAGTTTCTATGTGTTTTGTTCTATGTTTACAGTCTAGTTCTTGTATTTCTATGTTGGCCAGAATGGTTCCCAATCAGAGGCAACGAGTGTCAGCTGTTGCTGGTTGTCTCTGATTGGGAGCCATATTTAAACAGTCTGTTTTCCCTTAGTGTTAATGGGATCTTGTTCCAGTTGGTTTTGTGTTTGTACCGTGGACTTCACGTATTGTTTGTTGTTTGGTTTATTGTGTGTGCACTTAATTAAATAAGATGTACAAATCTCACGCTGCGCCTTGGTCTACTCTCTCTAACGATCGCGACAGAAGATCCCACCATACCAGGACCAAGCAGCGTGTCCAGGAGCAGGCAGCCTGGACGTGGGAGCAGATAATGGACGGGCAGGGGTCCTGGACCTGGGAGGAAATCCAGGCCGGGATGGATCGCCGTCCATGGAGGTAGACGGTAGAGGCTCGACGGAGAGAGGAGCAATGGCGTCAACAGGGTCGTCGTCGGACGGACGAGAGGCAACCCCCAAAATTTTTTAGGGGGGGGCACACGGCATGGGCGACGGGGCAGCAGGAGGCAGCTACAGGGCGTATTAGGAGGTTAGGTGAGGAGGCCACCAGGTTAAGGGGGCTATTGGTGCAGAGGGAGCAGGAGTTAGTGGTGCAGAGGGTGGAGCTACTGGAGGCGATAAGGGAGAAGGTGAGAGTAGAGGCACGGCGAGAGGATCTGTGTAGGCAGCTGAGGGAGTGGAGGGTTATGACGAAACCCAGTCCCGCTCCTCACACCAACCAAGCCAAGGGTGCACGTCGCCAGCCCGGCCCGGCCTGTTCCTGCTCCTCGCACCAAGCCTACGGTGCGCGTCGCCAGCCCAGCCCGGCCTGTTCCTGCCCCTCGCACCAAGCCTACGGTGCGCGTCGCCAACCCGGCCCGGCCTGTTCCTGCTCTTCGCACCAAGCCTACGGTGCGCGTCGCCAGCCCGGCCTGTTCCTGCCCCTCGCACCAAGCCTACGGTGTGCGTCGCCAGCCCGGCCCGGCCTGTTCCTGCCACTCGCACCAAGCCTACGGTGCGCGTCGCCAGCCCGGCCTGTTCCTGCCACTCGCACCAAGCCTACGGTGTGCGTCGCCAGCCCGGCCCGGCCTGTTCCTGCCACTCGCACCAAGCCTACGGTGCGCGTCGCCAGCCCGGCCTGGCCTGTTCCTGCCACTCGCACCAAGCCTACGGTGTGTGTCGCCAGCCCGGCCCGGCCTGTTCCTGCCACTCGCACCAAGCCTACGGTGCGCGTCGCCAGCCCGGCCCGGCCTGTTCCTGCCACTCGCACCAAGCCTACGGTGCGCGTCACCAGCCCGGCCCGGCCTGTTCCTGCCACTCGCACCAAGCCAGGGGTGCGAGTCGTCAGCCTGGTAAGGCCCGTTCCTGCTCCACGCACCAAGCCAGGGGTGCGACGCCAGCCCGGCCGGGCCTGTTCCTGCCACTCGCACCAAGCCTACGGTGCGCGTCGCCAGCCCGGCCCGGCCTGTTCCTGCCACTCGCACCAAGCCAGGGGTGCGAGTCGTCAGCCTGGTCCGGCCTGTTCCTGCCACTCGCACCAAGCCTACGGTGTGCGTCGCCAGCCCGGCCCGGCCTGTTCCTGCCACTCGCACCAAGCCTACGGTGCGCGTCGCCAGCCCGGCCCGGCCTGTTCCTGCCACTCGCACCAAGCCTACGGTGCGCGTCGCCAGCCCGGCCCGGCCTGTTCCTGCCACTCGCACCAAGCCAGGGGTGCGAGTCGTCAGCCTGGTAAGGCCCGTTCCTGCTCCACGCACCAAGCCAGGGGTGCGACGCCAGCCCGGCCGGGCCTGTTCCTGCCACTCGCACCAAGCCTACGGTGCGCGTCGCCAGCCCGGCCCGGCCTGTTCCTGCCACTCGCACCAAGCCAGGGGTGCGAGTCGTCAGCCTGGTCCGGCCTGTTCCTGCCACTCGCACCAAGCCTACGGTGCGCGTCGCCAGCCCGGCCTGGCCTGTTCCTGCCACTCGCACCAAGCCTACGGTGTGCGTCGCCAGCCCGGCCCGGCCTGTTCCTGCCACTCGCACCAAGCCTACGGTGCGCGTCGCCAGCCCGGCCCGGCCTGTTCCTGCCACTCGCACCAAGCCAGGGGTGCGAGTCGTCAGCCTGGTAAGGCCCGTTCCTGCTCCACGCACCAAGCCAGGGGTGCGAGTCGTCAGCCCGGTACGGCCCGTTCCTGCTCCATGCACCAAGCCAGGGGTGCGTATCGTCAGCCCGGTCCGGCCCGTTGCTGCTCCACGCACCAAACCAGGGGTGCACATCGTCAGCCCGGTCCGGCCCGTTCCTGCTCCACGCACCAAGCCAGGGGTGCGCATCGTCAGCCCGGTCCGGCCCGTTCCTGCTCCACGCACCAAGCCAGGGGTGCGCGTTGTCAGTCCGGCACAACCCGTGCCTGCTCCACGCACCAAGCCAAGGGTGCGCGTCGTCAGCCCGGTCCGGCCCGTTGCTGCTCCACGCACCAAACCAGGGGTGCGCATCGTCAGCCCGGTCCGGCCCGTTCCTGCTCCACGCACCAAGCCAGGGGTGCGCGTCGTCAGCCCGGTCCGGCCCGTTGCTGCTCCACGCACCAAACCAGGGGTGCGCATCGTCAGCCCGGTCCGGCCCGTTCCTGCTCCACGCACCAAGCCAGGGGTGCGCGTCGTCAGTCCGGCACAACCCATGCCTGCTCCACGCACCAAGCCAGGGGTGCGCGTCGTCAGTCCGGCACAACCCGTGCCTGGGTCACCGGTGCCTGATCAGGTACCGGTCAGCTGCTCCACACCGGAGCTTAAGCAATCCGCTCCTTCGATGTCCAGTCCAGCTCCAGCTAGCGGGGCCAGACCGGACCAGGGGCGTTACGGGGGGATTATTGGAGGGTGTTGGGCAAGCCCGGAGCCGGAACCGCCTCCGAGGAGGAATGCCCACCCAGCCCTCCCCTGTTTGGTTTATGTTGAGGGGGGGTACTGTCACACCCTGGCTCTGGGGACTCTATTTGTTGAGCCAGGGTGTGTAGATTCTATGTGGTTTTGTTCTATGTTCACTGTCTATGTATTGTATTTCTATGTTGGCCAGAGTGGTTCCCAATCAGAGGCAACGAGTTTCAGCTGTTGCTGGTTGTCTCTGATTGGGAGCCATATTTATACAGGCTGTTTTCCCACAATAGTTGTGGGATCTTGTTCCAGTTGGTTTTGTGTTTGTACCGTGGACTTCACGTATCGTTTGTTGTTTTGTTTATTGTGTGTGCACTTAATTAAATAAGATGTACAAATCTCACGCTGCGCCTTGGTCCACTCACTCTAACGAGCGTGACACACTATGGTGAATCACTAAAACAATACAGAAATACACTACGGAAAAAGAAGGAACAGCATGTCAGAAATCAGCTCAATGTAATTGAAGAATCCATAGACTCTAACCACTTCTGGGAAAATTGGAAAACACTAAACAAACAACAACACGAATAGCTATCTATCCAAACCGGAGATGTATGGGTAAACCACTTCTCCAATCTTTTTGGCCCTATAACAGAGAACAAACAGCAAAAAATATATACATGATCAAATGCAAATCTTAGAATCAACTATTAAAGACAACCAGAACCCACTGGATTCTCCAATTACATTGAATGAACTACAGGACAAAATACAAACCCTCCAACCCAAAAAGGCCTGTGGTATTGATGGTATCCTCAATGAAATGATAAAATATACAGACCACAAATTTCAATTAGCTATACTTAAACTCTTTAACATCATCCTTAGCTCTGGCATCTTCTCCAATATTTGGAAGAAGAGGACTGATCACCCCAATCCACAAAAGTGAAGACAAATTTGACCCCAATAACTACCGTGGGATATGAGTCAACAGCAACCTTGGGAAAATACTCTGCATTATCATTTACAGCAGACTAGTTCATTTCTTCAGTGAAAACAATGTACTGAGCAAATGTCAAATTGGCTTTTTACCAAATTACCGTACGACAGACCACGTATTCACCCTGCACACCCTAATTGACAAACAAACAAACCAAAACAAAGGCAAAGTCTTCTCATGCTTTGTTGATTTCAAAAAAGCTTTTGACTCAATTTGGCATGAGGGTCTGCTATACAAATTGATGGAAAGTGGGGTTGGGGGAAAAACATACGACATTATAAAATCCATGTACACAAACAACAAGTGTGCGGTTAAAATTGGCAAAAAACACACACATTTCTTTCCACAGGGCCGTGGGGTGAGACAGGGATGCAGTTTAAGCCCCACCCTCTTCAACATATATATCAACGAATTGGCGAGGGCACTAGAACATTCTGCAGCACCCGACCTCACCCTACTAGAATCTGAAGTCAAATGTCTACTGTTTGCTGATGATCTGGTACAGCAGCACCTAGATCTTCTGCACAGATTCTGTCAGACCTGGGCCCTGACAGTAAATCTCAGTAAGACAAAAATAATGGTGTTCCAAAAAAGGTCCAGTTGCCAGGACCACAAATACAAATTCCATCTAGACACCGTTGCCCTAGAGCACACAAAAAAACTATACATACCTCGGCCTAAACATCAGCGCCATAGGTAACTTCCACAAAGCTGTGAATGATCTGAGAGACAAGGCAAGAAGGGCCTTCTATGCCATCAAAAGGAACATAAAATTTGACATATCAATTAGGATCTGGCTAAAAATACTTGAATCAGTTATAGAACCCATTGCCCTTTATGGTTGTGAGGTCTGGGGTCCGCTCACCAACCAAGAATTCACAAAATGGGACAAACACCAAATTGAGACACTGCATGCAGAATTCTGCAAAAACATCCTCCGTGTACAACGTAAAACACCAAATAATGCATGCAGAGCAGAATTAGGCCAATACCCGCGAATTATCAAAATCCAGAAAAGAGCCGTTAAATTCTATAACCACTTAAAAGGAAGCGATTCCCAAACCTTCCATAACAAAGCCATCACCTACAGAGAGATGAACTTGGAGAAGAGTCCCCTAAGTAAGCTGGTCCTGGGACTCTGTTTACAAACACAAACAGACCCCACAGAACCCCAGGACAACAACAACAACAACAACAACAACAACAACAACACAATTAGACCAACCAAATCATGAGAAAAGAAAAAGAGAATTACTTGACACATTGGAAAGAACAAACAAAAAAACAGAGCAAACTAGAATGCTATTTGGCCCTAAACAGAGAGTACACAGTGGCAGAATACCTGACCACTGTGACTGACCCAACATTAAGGAAAGCTTTGACTATGTACAGACTCAGTGAGCATAGCCTTGCTATTGAGAAAGGCCGCCGTAGGCAGACCTGGCTCTCAAGAGAAGACAGGCTATGTGCACACTGCCCACAAAATGAGGTGGAAACTGAGCTGCACTTCCTAACCTCCTGCCAAATGTATGACCATATTAGAGACACATATTTCCCTCAGATTACAGCGATCCACAAAAAATTTGAAAACAAACCCAATTTTGATAAACTCCCTTATCTACTGGGTGAATAACCACAGTGTGCCATCACAGCTGTAAGATTTGGGACCTGTTGCCACAAGAAAGGGGCAACCAGTGAAGAACAAACACCATTGTAAATACAACCCATATTTATGTTTATTTATTTTCCCATTTGTTTATTTATACTATTTGCACATTGTTACAACACTGTATATATACATAATATGACATTTGAAATGTCTTTATTCTTTTGAAACTTCTGAGTGTAATGTTTACTGTTAATATTTATTGTTTATTTCACTTTTGTTTACTATCTACTTCACTTGCTTTGGCAATGTTAACATACAATAAAGCCCTTAAATTGAAATTGAATTGAACTGAATTGAATTGAATTGAATTGAGAGAGAGAGAGAGAGAGAGAGAGAGAGAGAGAGAGAGAGAGAGAGAGAGAGAGAGAGAGAGAGAGAGAGTCTTCAGTTTGTGTTCGGTTTATACATTTCAATTACTAGCAATATAACTCGTCATCTAACTATATGTGGTAAATATCAATAATGATAATTATAATAATGCCTCAATAATACACTCCAACAAGCAATAATACTATTGAACCTCAGTTCAGGCTCGTGTTCCAACCAGTTAAAACCTAGTCAGAACCAGGAGCCTGGAACTTGCCTTGTCATTAAGGCTGACATCCAGCAGCACATTATTGGGCTTCAGATCTTGATGTAGAAGGGGTGGGATGAGGCAATGCAGGAAGTTCATGCTCAGAGCGATCTGGTGGGCCAAGCGGGAGGCAAGGGTGGATGGACAGAGAGGGTGTCCAGGAGGGATTCCAGTGTTCCCCTCTCCATGAACCATCACAAAACCCAGCTGGATTGAAAGGCCGCAACTGGGGGGACAATCCTTGTACACTCCAAGAATCCTTATCACATGGAGGCTTGCACCCTTGCGCATAATATCTGCCTCATTATGCAGGGAAGCGCTAGAGCTGGGGTAAAGTTAGGGGTGGGAAGGAGAGGACACGGGAGGGGGTGGACAGTGAGAGCGAGGGCAACACAGGAATATTGTCTTAACTTAAATGGTTGACATAATTATGAAAGACAAATCAGTTTATAATGAAATTTAAAAAGCATTCAACTTACATAAAATCAAGTGTTTAAAGTATAGACATTTTTACCCATCATCATAATGTAGCAACTTGATGGTCACATCCAATCCTCAGTCCACATGTCTGGCTTTGTGGACTTGTCCAACCCCCCCTGCACCAATCACTTTCCATTTCTCCAGACTGTTGTTTCCAATTACTGGTGCCGGGCTGGACAGGTCCATCTGTCAATCAAGATGATCTGTAATGGCATTCAGTGTTTACGTCAAATAAATTCCACATCAAGTCAAGTTGCATAAAATCCCATCAAGTCACATGGTATTGGTTCTCCTTTTTGAGACACTACTGTAGCTAACACTGTCCTTTATAAGATTGTTCCATACACTCTTAGAAAAACAATGTGCTATCAAGAACATAAAAGTGTTCTTCTGCTGTCCCGATAGGAGAACCCTTTCAATAATCAATTAAATGTATTTATAAAGCCCTTTTTACATCAGCAGATGTCACAAAGGGCTATACAGAAAACCAGCCTAAAACCCCAAACAGCAAGCAATGCCGATGAAGAAGCACGGTGGCTAGGAAAAACTCCCTAGAAAGGCAGGAACTTATGAAGAAATCTAGAGAGGAACCAGGCTATGAGGGGTGGCCAGTCCTCTTCTGGCTGTGCTGGGTGAAGATTATAAGAGTACATGGCCATTTAAGGCCAGATTGTTCTTCAAGGTAGAACCATTTTCTGTTCCATGTAAAATCCTTTCCACAGAGGGTTCTACATGGAACTCAACAGAGTTCTACCTGGAACCAAAACGGGTTCGACCTAAAACCAAAAAGGGTTCTCCTATGGGTGCAACCAAAGAACCCTTTTGGAACCCTTTTTTCTAAGAGTGTACCTTAACAGTGCAAGTCATCCAGGTTTATCCTATCCTCTGATAAAGCAGTTTACTGGATTGCACATCATCAGTCATATTCAACATTTGCCCTGGACTACCAGTTTGTGTGATATGATAATAGCTGACTTATTTCCTGCCTCTCTAAAGCTCACATTGTCCCTGAAATAACCATTTCAGAAATCAGCAAACACAAATCAGATGTATGATTCAAGCATGTTACTCAGCTTCATATTACACTACATATCAATGTTGAGTTATCATTTAGTTTACCCTGGCACGGTCTCTCACCATGTTACTGTGCAGCAACTTACCTCCTGATTATGACAACATTCTTATTATGTGTATAAGATTAGGTAGTAGCTGAGTATCCATTGCTTTTTGTATTCATTATACTCTGGAGGTACTTACCATATGACCGTGCTTGAGAAAATTATCTTCACAGTAGCTCTATTTTATTTCAAATGGAATCTTCACTTAAATTATTTTACTTTCACTGCAGTATCTGAGTTGTTTCCACCTCCTTTTGTTTATTTACATTTTACGTTTTTGTCATTTATCCAGAGTGACTTACAGTTAGTGAGTGCATACATTTTTTTCATACTTTATCAGAGGAGGGTGGAGTCAGAAGGGTTGGAGTTGTGCAGTCAGGACTTGTCTAATCTTCTCCACCAGATGGTTCTCTCTCCGGTATGAATTGAGCCTGGGGTGTTAGCTTTGAATGCAGTGGCATGTTGTAGCATGCATAATTGTGTAATATTTGACACTACACGAGCCATCCATTTTTATTTGAAAAGTATCAGATTTATTGATTGTGCTATATAAGCTAGGTTTCCATCAAAATTGATTTTCATGTGAATATTCCATAATCCGGATAAAGAAAATATGCCCATTTTCCCACCAGTGGTGTTTCCACCAAACAGACTTGTTTTGCAGATAAAAATCGGTGCGTGATGACTGAAAAAAATCAAAAGTTTTCATTGTATTTTCGACTCTACCGATAGTTTTGTCACAAAAACCTTTTTAGTAAATAGCAAATGTGCCTACTCTGGTCTTGGCACGTGTGCTCTAGCCAACTGCTCGCAGACAGAAACAGTGTGGGTTGTCTTTGCAGGTAGGCTAGTGTACATGATGAGATTATTAAGAGTGAGAGTATTTTTATTTGTCAAATGGCAGTCAAGCATCGATCATCATGTCACCAGAATAAGACCCTCAATAGTTTTTGAAAAGGAGCATCAAGGTTGGCGTACACTTTCACCACCCTATACCTGTTCATCATAAGTTATTTCAAACTTTATGGTTTCCCAAGTTGTATGGACCACACACCATATCATCACATGACTCCAAGTTTACTTCGATATGATGGTTATTATATCAATATTTGCGCATTAAGGCTTTTTCAATGACATTTCTCGCATACTAATATTTACCAATACAAAAAGATCCCACCAAATCGAATGAACAAATTATCTGTCGGCAAAGTGGTCCTCTGTAGCTCAATTGGTAGAGCATGGCACTTGTAACGCCAGGGTAGTGGGTTTGATCCCCGGGACCACCCATACGTAAAAATGTATGCACACATGACTGTAAGTCGCTTTGGATAAAAGCGTCTGCTAAATGGCATATTATTATTATTATTCATTTCTAGAATTGTACCGAAATAGTTGTGATTTTTTAAATATGGGATGACTACTCCCATAAAAACTGTGGATGGAAACGTGGTTAACAATCACCATAGATGCATAAAAAAATATATAATGCCTTACAGTACAAGTACAGAGCAGATTAAAATGATGGTTCACTAAAGTCTATAAAGTCGCTGTACAGGTTGTTTAACACTTTTTGGAACATACAAATTGCTGTCCCCCATTGATCACATTAACTTCTGGTCGGCTAAGAATTATTTTGGAAGTAACAACATAAGCTGTTTATGCACATAACACCTCTCTGGTTAAATCAGCAACAACATAAACAATAAACAACCATAAAACATTTGGACTATTAAATGTGGATGAACTATCCCTTAAAGGGAAACATTGTGAAAATAAGAGATTTTGATAAACAACACATAAACAGTTAAAATTCCTACCGACAAATATATATACAGTGGGGAAAAAAAGTATTTAGTCAGCCACCAATTGTGCAAGTTCTCCCACTTAAAAAGATGAGAGAGGCCTGTAATTTTATTCATAGGTACACGTCAACTATGACAGACAAAATGAGGAAAAAAAATCCAGAAAATCACATTGTAGGATTTTTAATGAATTTATTTGCAAATTATGGTGGAAAATAAGTATTTGGTCAATAACAAAAGTTTCTCAATACTTTGTTATATACCCTTTGTTGGCAATGACACAGGTCAAACGTTTTCTGTAAGTCTTCACAAGGTTTTCACACACTGTTGCTGGTATTTTGGCCCATTCCTCCATGCAGATCTCCTCTAGAGCAGTGATGTTTGGGGCTGTCGCTGGGCAACACGGACTTTCAACTCCCTCCAAAGATTTTCTATGGGGTTGAGATCTGGAGACTGTCTAGGCCACTCCAGGACCTTGAAATGCTTCTTACGAAGCCACTCCTTCGTTGCCCGGGCAGTGTGTTTGGGATCATTGTCATGCTGAAAGACCCAGCCACGTTTCATCTTCAATGCCCTTGCTGATGGAAGGAGGTTTTCACTAAAAATCTCACGATACATGGCCCCATTCATTCTTTCCTTTACACGGATCAGTCGTCCTGGTCCCTTTGCAGAAAAACAGCCCCAAAGCATGACGTTTCCACCCCCATGCTTCACAGTAGGTATGGTGTTCTTTGGATGCAACTCAGCATTCTTTGTCCTCCAAACACGACGAGTTGAGTTTTTACCAAAAAGTTCTATTTTGGTTTCATCTGACCATATGACATTCTCCCAATCCTCTTCTGGATCATCCAAATGCACTCTAGCAAACTTCAGACGGGCCTGGACATGTACTGGCTTAAGCAGGGGGACACGTCTGGCACTGCAGGATTTGAGTCCCTGGCGGCGTAGCGTGTTACTGATGGTAGGCTTTGTTACTTTGGTCCCAGCTCTCTGCAGGTCATTCACTAGGTCCCCCCGTGTGGTTCTGGGATTTTTGCTCACCGTTCTTGTGATCATTTTGACCCCACGGGGTGAGATCTTGCGTGGAGCCAAAGATCGAGGGAGATTATCAGTGGTCTTGTATGTCTTCCATTTCCTAATAATTGCTCCCACAGTTGATTTCTTCAAACCAAGCTGCTTACCTATTGCAGATTCAGTCTTCCCAGCCTGGTGCAGGTCTAGAATTTTGTTTCTGGTGTCATTTGACAGCTATTTGGTCTTTGCCATAGTGGAGTTTGGAGTGTGACTGTTTGAGGTTATGGACAGGTGTCTTTTATACTGATAACAAGTTCAAACAGGTGCCATTAATACAGGTAACGAGTGGAGGACAGAGGAGCCTCTTAAAGAAGAAGTTACAGGTCTGTGAGAGCCAGACATCTTGCTTGTTTGTAGGTGACCAAATACTTATTTTCCACCATAATTTGCAAATAAATTCATTAAAAATCCTACAATGTGATTTTCTGGAAAAAAAAATCTCAATTTGTCTGTCATAGTTGACATGTACCTTTGATGAAAATTACAGGCCTCTTTCATCTTTTTAAGTGGGGGAACTTGCACAATTGGTGGCTGACGAAATACTTTTTTCCCCCACTGTACTTATGTCATGCAATAAAATGCAAATTAATTACTTTAAAATCATACAATGTGAATTTCTTTAGATTCCATCTCTCACAGTTGAAGTGTACCTATGATAAAAATTACAGACCTCTACATGCTTTGTAAGTAGGGAAACCTGCAAAATCGGCAGTGTATCAAACACTTGTTCTCCCCACTGTAAATGGTCTCGCTGCACTGGTGGTGGCGGTGGTCACACTTGTGGATGACGTAGATGGTCTCGCTGCACTGGTGGTGGTCACACTTATGGATGATGTAGAGGGTCTGGCTGTAAAATTGCCACTTGTTGCCCTAGGCACAATGAATGGATCCAGAAAAGAAAGATAGGCCGCTGGCCTAAAGCTGCTGACCCAGACCTCTCTGCCCTGCTCGCTCTGATACCAGTCCCTGATTCCTCTCCACTTCCTCCTACAGTCTTCTTCTACATAGACATGAACATAAGCCAAACCATCACCTAGCATAACTATCTACCATCATTTCTATTACTATTTCTCTCACACACACACACAATTATTTGGCCAAATTGTTAGGGGTAGTAACTAGCATAATTCACTGCGCCATACTCCCGAGTGGCACAGTGGTCTAAGGCACTGCATCGCAGTGCTAGCTGTGCCACTAGAGATCCTGGTTCGAATCCAGGCTCTGTCGTAGCCGGCCGCGACCGGGAGACCCATGGGGCGGCGCACAATTGGCCCAGCGTCGTCCAGGGTAGGGGAGGGAATGGCCGGCAGGGGATGTAGCTCAGTTGGTAGAGCATGGCGTTTGCAACGCCAGGGTTGTGGGTTCGATAAAATAATGTATGCGCTAACTGTAAGTCGCTCTGGATAAGAGCGTCTGCTAAATGACTAAAATGTAAATGTAAATAATTTATATGACTTTCTCTCTCTCACACACACACACACACACACACACACACACACACATTTCATTGGCTAGGTTAGCAAGCTAGTTAGCTAGCTAGGTTAGCTAGCTAGCCACATCTAGAAGAAGCTCACTGCGTGGACACTTGTCTCCAAGCAGCATTTATTGCGTTTATGTCCCAGTACCTGTCAGCAGTTGTGTCAAAAAGACACAGTTTTGATGATACAACACGTGTAGATACCGGCATTCAGTATAGTTGCGTAGCTGCGCAAAATGTTATGCAGCATTGATGCAATGACGCTGTCGGTGTGATCAATGCTTTAGAGGGAACATTGCAGAGGAGTATTAAAATGTTACATTATATATATTTAAAAAGAAGACGTTGGGTCTGCAGAGGAACAGAGGAGAGGATCGTGTTGTCTTATCCAGAGTTTCCATGTCAATCGTTTCTGACTATCAGATTTTCAGAGAAGCACATGAACGCAGCAAAGAACCAAATACAATTATTGGAACACTTGACTCCCGTGTGCACATAGTTCCTAGTATCGTCTATAACATCATCTCTGTCGACCTCACATCCAAAGTAAGACTGATTTAATGTAACTTTTATTAATACAAAAAGAAAAATATATAGAAATTATTATAATTATAGAAAGAAAAGTCCACTCTCGCACTTGGAGGGGGTTCTAGTATTGCTTCAAATAGCATTAGCTGGGAAGTGGCATGTTGGAGATAAAAAAATAAAAAAGTAAGCTGGGTATTTTTTCACACAAACACTCATCCTGTCCTGTTCAGGTTCCACACACTAAGCTGTAAAACTAAACTGAGATGTCTATCTCTCGCACTCCCTACATGGGGCTAAAATACTACAAACATAAACATAAATAACAGCACATTAATTTGGCATTTTTACAAAACACAGCTTTAAGAGTCCATCCAGTGTCCGCTTTTCTATTCTGGGTTCTGAAAATGAAAACAACAACAATAACAGAAAGATAACTTTCTGTGGCCGGAGAGAGCGGCAGACAAGAGAGAGGGAATGGAAACTGTGTGGGTTCTGTTTGTCCCTGCATCAGGCTTCCCAAGAAGACTGGCTGGCTGGCGGTCCTTCACGTGTAGCATTTTCCGTGTTTTGTGTCCATGTTAAGTCTCCTCTCTCTGTCTGTGTGTTGTGTGGAGAGGATGATGTGAGTACTATAGTAGGCAGACAAAGCAGTCTGTAGTCTCTATAGGGGATTCTCTTCTCTGCAAAGTCTCTCTGTCTGTTGGTGAGAGAAGCTGAGGTGGTTAAGTTTCCTTGGTCTCTGCCTGAGGTGAGGGGAGAGCTGTAGCAGACAGAAAAAGAGGTCTCTAGTACTGGTGGTCTTTAGTAGGCAGACAACAGGGTCGGAGAAATCAGGAAGGCCACCTCAGATGACATGTGCCATAGACTCTGCACAAACACACACACAAACCTCTATGTTCACAGTTGCGCTCCCCTTCTCTCTCACCCCCCCCCCCCCCCCCGGTCCCTAAGTGGTACGTTCCTCCCCATTAGCCTCCTGCTTGGTCCTCCTCAGATTGCTCTTCATCTTCACAAACTCAGGGGTGTTCTCCTGCTCCTCCTCATCCTTCTGCTGGTCCAACTCCAGCTAAACACACAGACAGAGAAGTATGTTAGGTTAAATGTTAGTACAAGTACATTGTTTGTGTGTGTGTGTTGAGCTGCCAGTATTGTATCAGGGTGATCTGTGTGTGAGATTAGGGCTGTAGTGGCCATAACATTTTGTCAGCCGGTGATTGTCAAGCAAATAACTGCCAGTCCCATGGTAATTGACTGTTAATTAACAAACACATTTAGCATCTCCTGGCTTCCACGCATAGCCTACAAGCCACTGATGCAAACCTTTGGAACTGCTACATTTTAAAAAGTCTAATAAATCCATGTAATATAGCCTACACAATCACAATAAATCCATTATTTGTTTTAAAACAGGTCTAAAGAAAATGTAGTGCATTTCAGAAGAACAGAATAGCATAATCTGAGTTGTCCTTATGTTGTTAGGCCCTGATCTGGCTATGCCATATGGCTATGGGCTACACTAGTTAATTTAGCAGACAAGATTAGCTTAGAATTCCGATGCATTATTTTATATTAATTTATAGTATGAAGAATACAACTGAACATAGCTGAATGAAATAGAAAGGATATTTTCTCCAAACTATTTGAGGGAGTGCATACATTCGGCTATTCTGTGTTGAGTGGTTAAGAAATAAACTGGTCCTCCTATATGCTTAATTTAGAGTTATTTATGCAACTTTAGTTGAGATACAAACGTTGGGCTATATGTTTTGATTTGTAATACATTCTAAGGCTGCATGATGTGACTAATGATGATTTGAAAAAAGTCCCATGAGCTCTGCTTAGTTTTTTTGCACAGGCTGCACACACGTCATCAGTCTTTCATTCACAATTTGACAAGCCTCAAATTTCCCAGCGGCATCCCCTTTGTGTGGCCATAATGCCCCCTAAAAAAGTCCATGCCTTTTGCGGCCATTGGCCATTGTGCCCTTGGGCTGAATATAATAATTATAATTCCCTTCTCCCAAAGCACCTCTCACTCACATGGCTCTCTCAGATAGCTCAATTCTTATTAGCCAATGCCCGTCATGTGATCGGGTCCTTCTCACAGGCTACAAGTGCAGACAGACACATCGGGGACACAACTGCAGACTGTCCTTATCCAATTCCGAGGCGCATATTGAAGATGTTGGAAGAACTGTCCGCATTTACATCAGCTAACAAGATGAGTAGGCCTAACGAACAGCAAAAGCACTAGCCTACGTCAATCTATTATCCCCATATTACAAACGTTTACCTATTCTATTCTTTGCGAGAAAGAAATATTCCAAACATAGTCTGGGAAAGTTGTGAGATGTGATAGATCCCAAATTAATACAACCACTAGCACTAAATAAGCTTTTTTAAGAAATGAGGCTCATGCAGCAGATCAGAAAGTTTTGCTTAAAATTTTTGATAAACTATTAGGCTATTTCTTACATTTTACATTTACATTTTAGTCATTTAGCAGACGCTCTTATCCAGAGCGACTTACAGTTAAGTGAGTGCATACATTTTTTCTTACTGGCCCCCCGTGGGAATCGAACCCACAACCCTGGCGTTGCAAGCGCCATGCTCTACCAACTGAGCTACACAGGGCCTTCTTCACATTATAAGCACAGCAATGCGCACAGGGCAGTAGGCTATACGCGCAACTGTTCCAAAATGCAATTAATTAGCGGGAAAACACCATTCCCAAAAGTGACCGCAAATGCGATTATGCATGTAATGCTTTTATTATAAAGGTGCTTTTCTATGGTGAAAATGATCTTCCCCAAACTTGAAACTCATGTACTGTGTATGTATGCCAGTTAGGCTCTACACCCGTTGTAAAGCGAATTCATGTGGTTAATTTTAAGAAGTTATTTGGCCACTTTAGTTGTGATACTAACCTTATTAAAACATATAGGCCTACGGGCTAGGCTACAGGAGGTGTGGGACTATGATTTTAAAAAGTTGCATAAAAAAGGCATGTGCTGTTTTCCTTACTGCACACAAGCTGGGCATTATTCACAAGTGATAGGCTAATATTGTCACCCATCAGACTATTCTTGATTTAATATTGTCTTTACATATACTAAATAATATATGTGTGAAATTTGTTTTGATTTAGAATGGACCATCATGCACCTGTCTCGAAACAGGGGCAGGGGGAACAAATACATGTAATCTATGCACTTAAATAGTGAATGGAGGATGCTTTTAAGTGGTTCATTTTCTCTTCGCCTCCATATTATTTTCATGCCAGCCAGGTAGGCTATACTCCTGTTGTAAAGAGAAGCAATGTGCTTAATATTAGGAAAGTTGAGAAATAAGAAAGTTGATGGGATCCTCCTCTTTTTAATAGAGGCCATCAAAACTCTGTTTTTCACGCAATTGCATAGCCTATAGAAATGTTGCGAAACATGAGCTCATGGGCTCTCATGAAGTGCTGGATTAGATTTCGATTACATTTGCATTGATGTCAGAGTGATTAGAGGGACAATAGAGTGCTGAGTACCAGGCAGTTCGCAAGTTTGGTAGGCTACTAATGACCATCAGCTGCATCAGAGCTAGGAGAAGCCTAATTATCGTGACTAAACAGTCACGTGGAATTTGACTGCCGTCATGTCTCGTGACCGCCGGTGTGGCGGTAATACGGTCACTGTAACAGCCCTATGTGAGACCCACACAGTACACACCACAAGGACAAGACCTGAAGTGGGTCAAAACACTATCTTGAACAGGATGAGGACTTTCATGCTCTGATTGTACTGTAAGAACTGCTGCCATACAGGGTGCTGCTCCCCAACTCTCTGCTTATCTCTTTGTTGAGCTCTTTCACTCTGCTACCATCTAGCAGACAGAGCCGGTACAGGTGCATCAGAGCTGGGACTGAGAAACAGCTTCTATTGCCAGGCCATCAGACTGTTGAACAGCCATCACTAGCTGGCTACCTGCCCAGTACTCAGCCCTGCACCTTGAGACTAATGCCCCATGTATAGAGTCAATGAACGCTGGTCACCTAATATTCTGTTTATATACCGTTGTTTACACACTGTGTAATTGCAGTATACAGTGCATTCGGAAAGTATTCCGACCCATTGACATTTTCCGCATTTTTTTACGTTAAAGCCTTATTCTAAATATGTATAATATTTTTTTATCTCAATCCACACACAATACCCCATAATGACTAAGCAAAAACAGTGATTTATACATTTTTGCAAATTTATAAAAAATACAAAACGGAAATATCACATTTACATAAGTATTCAGACCCTTTACTCAGTACTTTGTTGAAGCACCTTTGGCAGCGATTACAACCTTGAGTCTTCTTGGGTATGACGCTACAAGCTTGGCACACCTGTATTTGGGGAGTTTCTCCTATTGTTCTCTGCAGATCCTCTCAAGCTCTGTCAGGTTGGATGGGGAGCGTCGCTGCATAGCTATTTAGGTCTCTCCAGTGATGTTCGATCGGGATCAAGTCCGGGATCTGGCTGGACCACTCAAGGACAGTCAGAGACTTGTCCCGAAGCCACTCCTGTGTTGTCTTGGCTGTGTGCTTAGGGTAGTTGTCCTGTTGGAAGGTGAACGGTCGCCCCAGTCTGAGGTCCTGAGCTCTTTGGAGCAGGTTTTCATCAAGGATCTCTCTGTACTTTGCTCCGTTAATCTTTCCCTCTATCCTGACTAGTCTCCCAGTCCCTGCCACTGAAAAACATCCCCACAGCATGATGCTGCGGCCATCATGCTTCATGGTAGGGATGGTGCCAGTTTTCCTCCAGACGTGAGGCTTGGCATTCAGGCCAAAGAGTTCAATCTTGGTTTCAACAGACCAGAGAATCTTGTTTCTCATGGTCTGGGAGTCCTTTAGGTGCCTTTTGGCAAAATCCAAGTGTATTTGTCACATGCGCCAAATACAACAGGTGTAGACCTTACACTGAAATGCTTACTTACAAGCCCTTAACCAACAATGCAGTTTTAAGAAAAATAAGTGTTAAGTAAAAAATGGATAAGTAAAAAATATTTAAAGAGCAGCAGTAAAATAACAGTAGCCATTTTACTGTCATGTGCCTTTTACTGAGGAGTGGCTTCCGTCAGGCCGCTCTACCATAAAGGCCTGATTGGTAGAGTGCTGCAGAGATGGTTGTCCTTCTGGAAGGTTCTCCCATCTCCACAGAGGAACTCTGGAGCACTGTCAGAGTGACAATCGGGGTCTTGGCCACCTCCCTGACCAAGGCCCTTCTCTGGGCAGCCAGCTCTAGGAAGAGTCTTGGTGGTTCCAAACTTCTTCCATTTAAGAATGATGAAGGCCGCTGTGTTCTTGGGGACCTTTAATTGTAGCTAGCTTGTTGCTACCTGGATAGCTAACTAGACAATAGCTGGAACGACCTAGCGAACAGACGTGAAATGGCTGAATCTATTCAGTGGCTAGCTTTGCACTTAACTGGCTAACAGTAGCTACTAAGGGTAAGTTATAACCTACATTTGTGTTTTGTTTTTACATACTGGTAACCAGAGTCGTTCAAGGGAATTCGGGACATGGGTGACTAGTTAACGTTAGCATGGCTCTCTCTGTGTGTTCGTGCCGTGGGAAGAGGGTTTTTTTCGTTGGCAGAGAGCAATGGCTAGCTAGTATGCTAACTATTCTAGCTAACTAACTGGCTGAATAAGTTGACGACGGACTCACTCAAACTGTCAAAACTAACCCAAAACTTTACACAACGTTAGACACGGACACGAATAATCTGCTTGCCGTGTTAACACACTGGCGGTTTGTTGTAACCGAGTATTGGTGCTAAACCGTGTTATTGGAGCCTGGCATGCTAGTTGGCTATGGCGTCATAGGAGTCGGTGTGCCCTGGACGGTTTTCACGGAAGAATACTGTACCAAGTTAGCTTCCTGAATAAACTAAGTTAGTCTATTCTAGTCTATATATATATAATAGAATTATTGTAAAATGAACTCTGTCCATAAGGTGTAGATAGTAAGTATAGACCGGAAGTAGACGCCTGGGCATTGTTGTTCACTAATTTACTCCAAGTAGGGAAAGGATGGTGGGGTTGAAAAGTAATAAAGGGGAGTATATATATAAAAAATAAAAAAATAAACATGGGGGATTGGAAGTGATGCAGACAATGACATTGATAAAAGATACAATCTATCTGCAATATTAAGCTGATCCATCCCCACCCCCCCGCAAAAAAAAAATAAATGTAGTCTATTCCTAGAAAACATTGAACCGCTGTAGTTTACAACAATTATAATTTCTAAAGTGGAAGTTGGGAGAGTTATATTTGAGTGTTTCAGTGAAACGTAAGTGAGGGAGGCCCCGCTCTCTCGCTTTCCCAGATGTTTAGTTCATTTCATTCCGATCTCCTTTGCATTATTGTAGCCATTTTCTGTAGCCTGTCAACTATGTGTCTGTCTATCCCTGTTCTCTCCTCTCCGCACAGGCTATACAAACGCCTCACACCGCGTGGCTGCTGCCACTCTAACCTGGTGGTCCCTGCACGCACGACCCACGTGGAATTCCAGGTCTCTGGCAGCCTCTGGAACTGCCGTTCTGCGGCCAACAAGGCAGAGTTCATCTCAGCCTATGCTACTCTCCAGTCCCTCGACTTCTTGGCGCTGACGGAAACATGGATTATCACAGAAAACACTGCTACTCCTACTGCTCTCTCCTCGTCTGACCATGAGTTCTCGCATACCCCGAGAGCATCTGGTCAGCGGGGTGGTGGCACAGGAATCCTCATCTCTCCCAAGTGGACATTCTCTCTTTCTCCCCTGACCCATCTGTCTATCTCCTCATTTGAATTCCATGCTGTCACAGTCACTAGCCCATTTAAGCTTAACATCCTTATCATTTATCGCCCTCCAGGTTCCCTTGGAGAGTTCATCAATGAGCTTGACAAGTTACTTTCCTGAGGATGGCTCACCCCTCACAGTTCTGGGTGACTTTAATCTCCCTACGTCTACCTTTGACTAATTTCTCTCTGCCTCCTTCTTTCCACTCCTCTCCTCTTTTGACCTCACCCTCTCACCGTCCCCCCCTACTCACAAGGCAGGCAATACGCTTGACCTCATCTTTACTAGATGCTGTTCTTCTACTAATCTCACTGCAACTCCCCTCCAAGTCTCCGACCACTACTTTGTATCCTTTTCTCTCTCGCTCTCCTCCAACTCTACTCACTCTGCCCCTACTCAGATGGTAATGCGCTGTCGCAACATTCGCTCTCTCTCTCCCGCTACTCTCTCCTCTTCCATCCTATCATCTCTTCACTCTGCTCAATCCTTCTCCCTCCAATCTCCTGATTCAGCCTCCTCAACCCTCCTCTCCTCCCTTTCTGCATCCTTTGACTTTCTATGTCCTCTCCTCCCGGCAGGCTCGGTCCTACCCTCCTGCTCCGTGGCTTGACGACTCATTGCGAGCTCACAGAACAGGGCTCCGGGAAGCCGAGAGGAAATGGAGGAAAACTAGACTCCCTGCGGACCTGGCATCTTTTCACTCCCTCCTCTCTACATTTTCTTCCTCTGTTTCTGCTGCTAAAGCCACTTTCTACCACTCTAAATTCAAAGCATTTGCCTCTAACCCTAGGAAGCTCTTTGCCACTTTCTCCTCCCTAATGAATCCCCCCCCGGAGAATCTGTCTCCGCACCACCTGCTCTCATCACTGGTGTCCCCCAGGGCTCAGTTCTAGGCCCTCTCCTATTCTCGCTATACATCAAGTCACTTGGCTCTGTCTTATCCTCACATGGCCTCTCCTATCATTGCTACGCAGACGACACACAATTAATCTTCTCCTTTCCTTCTTCTGATAACCAGGTGGCGAATCGCATCTCTGCATATCTGGCAGACATATCAGTGTGGATGACGGATCACCACCTCAAGCTGAACCTCGGCAAGACGGAGCTGCTCTTCCTCCCAGGGAAGGACTGCCGCGTTCCACGATCTCGCCATCACGGTTGACAACTCCGTTGTGTCCTCCTCCCAGTGTGCGAAGAGCCTTGGCATGACCCTGGACAACACCCTGTCGTTCTCCGCTAACATCAAGGCGGTGACCCGATCCTGTAGGTTCATGCTCTACAACATTCGGAGAGTACGACTCTGCCTTACACAGGAAGCGGCACAGGTCCTAATCCAGGCACTTGTCATCTCCCGTCTGGATTACTGCAACTCGCTGTTGGCTGGGCTCCCTGCGTGTGCCATTAAACCCCTACAACTCATCCAGAACACCGCAGCCCGTCTGGTGTTCAACCTTCCCAAGTTCTCTCACGTCACCCCGCTCCTCCGCACACTCCACTGGCTTCCAGTTGAAGCTCGCATCTGCTACAAGACCATGGTGCTTGCCTACGGAGCTGTGAGGGGAACGGCACCTCCGTACCTTTAGGCTCACATCAGTCCCTACATCCAAATGAGGGCATTGCGTTCATCCACCTCTGGCCTGCTGGCCCCCCTACCTCTGCGGAAGCACAGTTCCCGCTCAGCCCAGTCAAAACTGTTCGCTGCTCTGGCACCCCAATGGTGGAACAAGCTCCCTCACGACGCCAGGACAGTGGAGTCACTCACCACCTTCCGGAGACATTTGAAACCCCACCTCTTTAAGGAATACCTGGGATAGGATAAAGTAATCCTTCTACCCCCCCTTACCCCACCCCCAAAAAAAAATATTGTAAAGTGGTTGTCCCACTGGCTATCATAAGGTGAATGCACCAATTTGTAAGTCGCTCTGGATAAGAGCGTCTGCTAAATGACGAAAATGTAGTGTAAATGTAATTCTGCAGACATTTTTTGGTACCCTTCCGCAGATCCGTGCCTCGACAAAATTGTCTCGGAGCTCTTTGGACAATTCCTTCGACCTCATGGCTTGGTTATTGCTCTGACATGCACTGTCAACTTATATAGACAGGTGTGTGCCTTTCCAAATCATGTTAAATCAATTGAATTTACCACATGTGGACTCCAATCAAGTTGTAGAAACATCTCAAGGATGATCAATGGAAACAGGATGCACCTGAGCTCAATTTCGAGTCTCATAGCAAAGGGTCTGAATACTTACTGTATGTAAATAAGGTATTTCTGTTTTTAATTTCAATAAATCTGCAAACATTTCTAATAACCTGTTTTCGCTTTGTCATTATGGGGTATTGTGTGTAGATTGATGAGTATAAAAAAATAAAAAAGTTTTGAATAAGCTGTAACGTAACAAAATGTGGAAAAAGTCAAGGGGTCTGAACACTATTCTCAATGTAGCTCATCCTAATATATCTACTGCTGTATATACCATTTTATTTTCCAAATGATATACTATCTATACACACACACCACATACTTATATTCTGGATTCTCACACATGCTCACAAATATATGGATTGTTATTTCTTGATTTGTTGTTTAGATTTCTATTTTTATTATTTGTGTATTGTATTTGCGAGACATTCTACTGCACTGTTGGAGCTGTAACATACGCATTTTGCTGCACCTGACATAACACCTGCAAATCTGTGTACGAGACCAATAAACTTTGATTTGAGTTTTGATTTGATTTCTCACACTGTCATAAAGTGTCTTCATAAAGTATTGGGCCACCACGAGCCAGAACAGCTGCAATGCACCTTGGCATTAGGGTTAGGGGATATCCAGATTTTCATACAGTCATACCGTTTCTGTACCATACCGGGGTATTTTGTTTTTCTATTTACAAAACTATTTAGGCAACAGGGATCTTGATAGAGGAGGGGATTGAATGTATCTGCTGTATCTAGCCACTTAGCCAGCAAGTTAGCAAACCAAATGCATAGCTGGAGCCCCGAGCTGGATAGAATTTATTTGACGTCTTAGATTTCTTATAGTAATACTTAACTTATAGTTATAAGTAGTGGTGTAGCACGCACCCCCAACCCCCCCAAAAATAAAAGTATATATATTTTTTCATGGTATTGAAAATCATACCCTCTGTATTTTGAAATACCCCAGTATACAGTATAAACAGTATATTGCCCAAGCCTACTTGGCATAGATTCTACAAGTGTCTGGAACTCTGACGGCCGCCCCCAGGTGGTAAGGGTAGGTAACAACATCTGCCACGCTGATCCTAAACACGGGGGCTCCTCAGTGGTACGTGCTCAGTCCCCTCCTGTACTCCCTGTTCACTCATGACTGCATGGCCAGGCTCGACTCCAACACCATCATTAAGTTTGCAGACGACACAACAGTGGTAGGCCTGATCACCGACAACAATGAGACCGACAACAATGAGATAGGGAGGAGGTCAGAGACCTGGCCGTGTGGTGCCAGGGTAACAACCTCTCCCTCAACGTGATCAAGACAAAGGAGATGATTGTGGACTACAGGGGAAAAAAAGAGGACTGAGCATGCCCCCATTCTCATCGACAGGGCTGTAATGGAACAGGTTGAGAGCTTCAAGTTCCTTGGTGTCCACATCACCAACAAACTATCATTGTCCAAACACACCAAGACAGTCGTGAAGAGGGCACGACAAAGCCTATTCCCCCTCAGGAGACTGAATAGATTTGGCATGAGTCCTCAGATCCTCAAAAAGTTCCACCCCACCCCCTCTTTTACACTGCTGCTACTCTGTTTATTATCTATGCATACTCACTTTAAGTCTACCCACATGTACATATTACCTCATTTACCTCAACTAACCGGTACCCCCTGTATATAGCCTCCCTACTGTTATTTTACTGCTGCCCTTTAATTATTTGTTATTTTTAACATATCTATTTTTTACTTAAAACTGCATTGTTGGTTAAGGGCTTGTAAGTAAGCATTTCACTGTAAGGTCTACACCCATTGTATTTGACGCATGTGTCAAATGACATTTGATTTCATTTATTGGAGGGATGCGACACCATTCTTCCACGAGGAACTCCATAATTTGGTGTTTTGTTGATGGTGGAAAACGCTGTCTCAGGCCCTGCTCCAGAATCTCCCATAAGTGTACAATTGAGTTGAGATCTGGTGACTGAGACGACCATGGCATATGGTTTACATCGTTTTCATGCTCATCAAACTATTTAGTGACCACTCGTGCCCTGTGGATGGGGACATTGTCATCCTATGTGGGCATAGCCACGATAGCCAAAATAATGGCCTGCCCAGTATTTTTATACATTACCCTAAGCATGATGGGATGTTAATTGCTTAAAAGGCACAGTGCAGTCAAATGTGATTTTGCTGTGTTTTACATATATTTCCACACCTTGAGGTGTGAAAATTATGATAATGCCCTTTTAGTGTAAGAGCTGTTTGAAAATACATTTCAGCCTGTTTTGGTGGGATGGAGTTTTGGCCTGCCTGGTGATGTCTCCAGGCGATAAATTACTTAATAGACCAATAAGATAGTTCCAAACCTCTCTGCCAATAAAAGCTTGTTTTCCCTTTCCCACTCAGACCACTCCCAGACAGTCCGAGCAAAATTCTTGCTTGAGAAATTGCTCTTTGCTAAGAAGCGATTATGTTTTTCTTGACCATTTTAATTGAAAACAATCACAGTAAGGTATTTATTTGTTACCCAGAAATTATTTGATAGAGATAAAAACAGCTGCATTGGACCTTTATTTAACTCAGGAATCACACCTGTGTGGAAGAACCTGCTTTCAATATACTTTGTATACCTAATTTACTCAAGTGTTTCCTTTATGTTGGCAGTTACCTGTAGGTTTACATTTGTTTGTAAATGTGTGTTTACCTGTTCTAGTTTCTGTTGTCTCTTCATTAATTCTATCTCCAGGTCGCTCCTCTTGGTGTGGGCCTCCTGCTCCTCCCTCTGGGCCTTGAGAACCTGTTCTCTCTTCCTCTGCTCCAAAACCTTCTGGAGCTCCGGCTTGTTCTGGGGAGCCAGGCCCCTAGGAGAAACAACCAATCACAGGACCTGTTAGTACAAACATCCGCTTTCATAATATAGCTCTCCCTTTTTTTTTACTCCAAATTCTGAGAAGTGGCTTGAGCTGTCCCCTTCTGCTAGATTTGACATGACATTGATGAAATAGGTGTTTCCATTTTGTTGTTACGCAACTGTGTCAAGTTGGGGGTTTTATGATTTCAATATTAAAACGGAGAACAGGGCCATCTGAGTACAAACACCCATTAGTGGGATGACCACAATATTACCGTCTATCAGAACTCTTGTTGCCTTTATAACTAATAAATGTTGTATCCAATTACATTACTTAATGTCCTAGTTTCTCCTTAAAATGTTGTTCAGTAGGCCAAAACAGGAAAATTGGGTGTTAGAGATCTAAAAGCACCTCCTCCATTCATTATAAAACTATAAATGTCTATATAATGAGTGAGGAATGTTTAGTTATCTGACCACTTTTTCCTGCCTGACCCGAGTAAGTGATTTCTAAAGAGGTTAGATGCATACACGTCTAAAATATGTGTTTCTAACAGTCTCTACTTTGTGCATGTGTGTGTGTGTGTTACAGTTAGAACATAGGTAGTTAGGGAAGAGTAAGAGACTCTCTGTGGGGGATGGTGTAGCATTGCGGTTGTTAAGAGCTTTGGGTCAGTAACCGAACAGTCGCTGGTTCGAATCCATGAGCCGGCAAGGTGTAATAATCTGCCGTTCTGTCCTTGAGCAAGGCAATTAACCCCCAACAAGAACTGCTCCCTGGGCTCTGATGACGTGGACGTCGATTAAGGAAGCTCCCCGCACCTCTCTGATTCAGAGGGATTGGGTTAAATGCAGAAGACACATTTCAGTTGAATGCATTCAGTTGTGCAACTGACTAGGTATCCCCTTTCCCTAATCCTCCTTACATAGCCTTCCTTTCCATCTCTCTCTCTAAACCATCCCTCGCTCTCATCATCACCATGACTAATCCACTTTAAACTAAAACACTTCTCTCCATCCTCCTCTCCCCCAACTTTCCTCTACATCCTCTTCTTTCTCCTCTCCTCATCTCCACAGAGAATACTAAAACCCAGTCAAAACATCTCTATGCTTTAAGATCTAAATAAAGAGAGAGGCTATATAGCACAGAAAGCAACATTGAAAGACATAGCAGGGGGGGAAAATCTTCTCTCAAGTTCCCCCTCTCACCCTTTCCCACCTCTCCTTTCTTGCCTCCCTTCATACTCCAGAGTTCTGTGTTCATGTCCATAATCCACATGGTTCTGTGCAGGGTGCTAACAGACAGGGCACAGTGACGTAACAGCTGTCAACAGTACACACTGTGCTTATATATAGCATAACAACAACAAGCAACAAGGCTTTGGGCATTTGTCCATTCAGCATGAGAAAATACACTATTTGAGCCTCAGCACTGATGCTTTCAATCAAAGCCACACACAGTCATGCATGCAAGCACACGAGCATGCACGCATAACCAGTGTGAATTGCTGCCACGGTCCATTCTTTAACTTACATTTTCCCAAGTGGCAACTCAAGGTATTACAAAAACATTCAGCCAAAAATCTTTTTTCTCAATTCACCAAGACCCATCCATTTATTTTACCCACCCGCTCAGTGCAGAACTTTTCACTGGAAACAAGATTGTAAAAAAAAGATTGTTGCGTGCTTGTATTGCTATAATAATATTGAAAGTGTTCAGGCAGGAGGAACCTTTACATGCAGTAAGTGCAGGTTGTTATGTAATAATTCTGAGACAGTAGAATGAACTAAAGGTTTTATATAATAATTCTTATTAAAGTTTCATGCATTAAGGTTTACATAACAGTACTGTTATGCATCGCCCACGGGGGTACCCCCAATACACGATGTAATAGCATAGCAACACGCTGCATTAGCACACAGTCACACACTTCTAACAACAGATCCAGGATCAGCTGACTCAACCCTCACCTTAACCAATAGACGGAAAACAACCCAAACACTGGATTATAAACAGAAACAGTAGGCAAGGATAAACCTTTGACAGATCAATAAAGTCTGTGTGCAGAGTTGAACGCCAGGGTTATATACTGTTCATATCAACCTCATGAATGACTTGGATCTCATCCATCCTCGGTCCGAGCCAGGATTTATGTCTACCATAACACAGTGATATGCCCACGTTGGGTCAGTCAAAGGAAGATAAACTGGTGTTGTATGAATAGAAACTTGTTTACAGTTTCCCTCTTGAGTAAGACGAGGATCAGGGTATAGACAACTGGGAAATAAAATGTAGAAGTAGCAGGAGAAATGGAGGGGAAGAATGAGAGGTGAAGTGTGTGTTGCCCCAGTGTTGTCCCCAGTCCCCTCACATCTTCTGGTTCATCATGAGTTCTCGATGGAGGTCCTGGTGGTTTCTGGAGCCCTTGACTGGGTTCAACAGCTTCTTGGGTTTGATCATCTCCTCATAGTCCCCCTCCAGATAGTCCGGCTCAGCCATCACACTCCTGCCCCGAGACAGAGACAGACTTGGGTCCACACACCGATCTTACGAGGGGAGAAGAGAGGATTCATTATGTTATTAATAATTTATTATACATCTCAATTCATTGATTCATTTACACACTGTAAAGGTCAACTATACAGGCTCTCTCACACACAAACACAACCACAGTGAGGCGAAGACTTTTGGAGGATGGCCTGGTGTCAAGATGCTATCGAGACATCCATCTGTTTAATGCACCCAGACATTATGACCCCCACTACTGAATCTGGAGTTACATAATCATTCCCTTCCACCAGAGGATTGTTCTATTCTCCAGGCTGGGCTGGTTCCAAGCATAAGTGACATAAGCGGTCCCTTATGGCCGAATACCGACCGGGCACACAGGGCACGTGCCCAGGGACCCTGACCTCCAAGGGGCCCCCATTGATTTTGTTAGTCATTCTCAATCCGATATCATATTAACATGGCATAAGTCGTTACAAAATGTGTAGAATTGCAGAAAATATGCTTTAAAACTGCAAAATGTTCTCTATGACCCATGGTAAATGTGTAGTTAAAACTAAAATTCTTCCCTCCACCGTCAAGAGGGCGGCCACTCAAACGTTTTGCCGTAAGGTGAGGGGCCCCCAACCAAATCTCACTTAGGTCCCCCAAAAGGCTAGTGCCGGCGATGCTCACAGGTCTCACAGATACTGCTGGCAACAACTAGCCTATATCCATCAAAATATCACCTTCTTTATATGGATATACTGCATTTAAAATGCCATTCAGAGATGGAATTACTTGATTACACACATACAATACAGTCCCTAAGCTAATCAGATATAAAATCAAACAGGGAGTACTCCCATTACCTATTCTAATTTCTCACAAACTGATTTGAATATCCAAATATAAGGTTACGCATTTTCCATTAGTCCTACATAGATTTGATAATATATATAGATCATCAGAGTACAATTTCATGTAGCCACCAAATTAATGTACAATGTATGGGTAATATGTACAGTATCTGTATGCGTTCGTCTAAGACCATTTCCCCTTGGAGACAATTCCATATTATCATATCAAATGGCGCAGTGGTCTAAGGCACTGCATCGCAGTGCTAACTGTGCCACTAGAGATCCTGGTTCGAATCCAGGCTCTGTCGCCGCCGGCCGCGACCGGGAGACTCATGGGCGGCGCACAATTGGCCCAGTGTCGTCCAGGGTAGGGGAGGGAATGGCCGGCAGGGATGTAGCTCAGTTGATAGAGTATGGCGTTTGCAACGCCAGGGTTGTGGGTTCGTTTCCCACGGGGGGCCAGTATAAAAAAAATATGTATTCACTAACTGTAAGTCGCTCTGGATAAGAGCGTCTGCTAAATGACTAAAATGTAATGTAAATCTTCGTATTGTACTTTACATTTGCATTGCATTAAAACTATTTATATGGTAATCACGACACAGACAGTCTGCATAACGATATTATACAACGGGTGGGTCTAATCCTGAATGCTGATTGGATAAAACTGCATTCCAGCTGGTGTCTATTCCGCAAGTTACCACCGGCTAAATCTATGACATTAAAATGCCTATTTACTCTGTTCCATCTGACTGCGCAAACCACCGTCTCATCCAACCCATTGTCCTTTCATTATAAGAAGTTGTAAAAAGTTACACTTCAACCGGTAACACATTTACGCATAAGACCGGTTAGAACGCGTCAAATAATTTTGACAAACAACAGGAAATCTAACAAACTTTCTAAAAACAAAAACAAATGTAATCCATTTTAGAATAAGGCTGTAATGTAACAAAATGTGGAAAAAGTGAAGGGGTCTGAAAACTTTCCGAATGCACTGTACACGGCGTCCCCTCACACACACAGTTAATATTTTAACAATTGACCTGGAAACTGTTTACAACGTTAAATAACTTATGACAAAGCTTGTCTCTTTCTCAGGAGTTTAAAGGTCAGCCAGGAGTGTAATTAACCGCATTCCAAGAATAGGTGCGTTTACGAATGGCTTTTGGAAGTAGGCCAAAAGCACCAAAATGTGATTTTATAACCGTGTGTATTACTTAGGTAGTGGTAACATTTCATAGCCTATGACATAGGAAGCATTCTCATGATTTGTTCATCATCATCGTGCAGCGTAGACTACAAGGCCAAAAACACCCCATCTGAGATATAGGCCTGCTAGGCTACATACTATAATTATTTTCTTAATTGGAAATGTATAAATTGCATTTTTAGTCTGCGTGTAGACCTATGTTTTGAAGATACAACAACGAGAGTCTTAATATCACCAACACTGGGAAACAGCGAGCATGGAGCTGTAATACTGTATCGACAAGTCTGGGTCTCAATTTACTGTTGCGAGTTAGAGTAGTAGAATACACAAGGTGCAATTTCGATATTTGGTTGTGCATCAGCAGTTTCTCTTGTTATGTCAGTCACTGATAGTCACTCAATTAGCCCATGTCAGCTAACATTTTTTAGATCGGTAAATTAGTCTAACGGCCAGCTATCTGAACTTTTAGTAATTATGGTCGAATTATGCCCTGGGGGGCACCTGTTGATTTTGTTAGTCATTCTCACTCACTAAGGGCGGTTGGTGACAGGTGGTTGGGGGATTGGCGGCGCAACTGCGGCCACTAATGATGCTTTCAGATTTGTTGTGGTCCCCACCCCCATCAAAGTTGCCCATTCCTGGTACGGACCATTCAAAACAAGCACACTGAGGAGAGCTGTAATGTTTATATCTCAACACTAGAGGTCGCCGCTTCCTCACAACCCAGAGAAGAACAAAGAGCCAGTTACATAACAAAGAGGTGGATAAACAACCATGTCTCCCACACGTTTTGACTGATCTTTTTCTCAATGAGGGCCAGATGTACTGCACATTTGCATGTTTTCAGAGAGGAACAGTAGACAAAGGAAAACATTAAGACGTAATTTAGTTCTCATTATGTGAGACAGAAAACATTATTGTGTTTTACACCCTGTGGGGGTAAAAATGTTTGATTGTCATAAATCAAACATTAGTCCTGTGTATTTCACATGAAGGCAATATGCAGTGTGTGTGTGTGTTCAAGTTTTAGGTCACATGCACAAGTACAGTGAAATGATTAACTTACAAGCGCTACTCAACAGTGCAGTATTCAATATCAAAAAAGTATAACTAATAAGAAAAAAACACAAGAAATAAGAGAGGAAGCTATATACATGGTCAGTGCCAGTACCAAATTTACAATGTGCAGGGATACTGGAGTATTGGGGTAGATATGTACATATAGGCAGGGAATAGGGGAACAAAACGGGTAGCAGGATCAATAATAATAGTAAACAGTTTGGCAGCAGCATAAGTGGTGGGTGGGTATGTCCGAGTGTGTCTATGTAAGTGTGTGGGTGTTAGGTGTGAGTGTGTGTGTGCAAGAGTGTCAGTGTAGGCGTGATACGCGGATATACAGTACATGTAAACAGGGCACACTGTGTGTTTGTGTGTATGCATGTCTGTACTGTGTGTATATGCTAACAGGGAAAACTCTAGAAAGTTCAATCTCGTGCTTCTCTCTGTTGGCTGATAGTTCTTCTGTGTGGCAGTCCTGGGGAGCTGCATGGCAGTCTTGGGCTGCGCGCCCATGCACGGGTGTGACATGCTGCCACAAGACTTGCTCACTGCAATACGGTCACTGAGAGAGCGAAAGAGAGAGTAAACACACATACCCTCCCATCTTATCCTGTGGGACATACAGCATCTGTCAACACCAAGACCGAAATATGATTTTAGGCCAAAGGAAATATAAACAGCTTTCAGCAGTGTGTGCGTGCGTGCGCGCGCGTGTAGAGGACTTTTTAGAAGTGCACTTCCTGCTATTCCAGGCATCCCCATTACAGCAGCTCTTTCATGTTAATAGGTGTAGGAACCAGATGGTCTCAAGTGTGAGTCTCCAGTTAGCCCTGACAACCTCACTACAGAGGAACTAATACTCTGCAAAAACACTGCTATATGGTCAGACGACACTGTCGTACACAGAGGAGAGAAGTAAAACCTCAGTCTTCATCTTCTTACTCTTTCCATGTCACCCCTGCCACAACCTCTACGTTAATATGATCTCACATGCTATGTGTGAGTGACACTGGGAAACCAGGGGGTGGGAGAGAGGGGTGAAAGGTCAAAATAAACAGAGAGAGATAGAGACATCGAGAGAAAGAGAGCGGAACTAGGCCATTCATTACAATCAGAGGCTGTCAACATCTCAAAGCAATACTTGTGAGTGAACTAATGGGTGAGTACTTTCTCATGGGTGTTCGCTTGTGTTTGCATTTATAAGAGTAAGAGAGAAAGAGAGAGTGGGAGGAAGGGATGGAGTGACTATGTGAGTGTGTATACAGTAGGTGTGTGTGTGTGTGTGTGAGTCCCTGAGTCTACACTTGCAGGCTGCATTAGAGCTAATTGAATGACAGTCTTGGCACTGTACACATACAGTGCTGCACTGGGCTATTGCATCAGAACTGATTGTCCTTCACTGGGACTGCATGAACTAACAGCTAACGCACGCACACACACACTTCCTGTTGTTGGCCTTGTGTCTATGAGTGTGTGAGTGATGACTGGTCTCCATGGTGATGGTGGAAAAACAGTTGAGAATAAGTTGAGATGATTTAGACCAAGAGACAAAAAATGAAGGTATAAAACCCTCTCTCTTTGTCCATGTGGTTCTGATGTCCTCGAGAGAGAGAGAGAGAGAGAGAGAGAAAGAGAGAGAGAGAGACCAGCTGGCGGCCTGCTTTACCATATGACCCCCTGCCCCCCACAACACACACACATTTAGCCATGAAGGAAACCCTGATTAAAAGACAGCGATATGCAGCCTTCTAACTGACAGAGGCAGATGGAGGGATGATGAGGTAGAGAAAGAGTTATATGTGGACCAGTGATGTTTAGCAGCTCAGATGTTGTTTCTCGCTCAGCACATCCACCCAGAATGAGTTTTGGGGGGCTGAGGT